GAGGCGAAACCCCGTCAACAGGCGGTTGTTGAAGCAGGAGGCGGGGGGAACCACACGTGGGGTCTGACCCTCCCGGGAGCCGCGTCCGCTCCTGCCACCTCCACGCTTCGTGGGAGAATTGCAGTCAGGGGGGAGAGAGGTTTGGGTGGATGAAGGCTGCCGTCTTCACCGTTGGCTTGTTTTCTCCCCCTCTCTCCTCTGCTCAGATGCGTACGCGAGAGGATCCGGCTCTTCCACCTCCAACGCCTGCACGCTGTCAGCCATCAGCACGATAATGATATCGCTCACAGCTCGGTCCAGTTTATGACAAAAATGACATAAAGGACTTCTTGTTTATAATATAAGCAACATTTAGCTAGTTGTTTTGAAGACACCCAGTACTAAGTAATATTGTGGTTTGAGTACATCTTACTACTGGAAAAATGTTTATGCTTCTTTAGGAATGGCATTATACAGTACTTCCTCAAAGCAAATATAGCTTTGTCTGAAGTTTCCTTGGAAACTCTGCAATGCACTGAAAACATCTGTAATATGATGTTACCAAAGCAGTTTACATATGTCCTTATATGCATATTTTTTATTATATATTTAGTGTTTTATAGAATTTTTTAAAGTTAACATATGATGTAGATATTAATTTTTCCTCTGCTATAAAATGCTATGGACGACATTATCACGAAAATATTGTTTGGAAATTTTTTCCCTTCATGACGGAGAGTTCAAAGTTGGTCTTGGTAGGTTGGCTGCGACTTCACTGTACAGTTCTACAAGGCAGGACCGTTCCAGGTTCGGTTCGTACCGCGGCCGTAAGTCACGGCGACTCTTGTGTTAAATCCAGTGCTTGTAACGCACGAGATGGTACGTTTTGTTCGGAGGTCTAAGCCAGACAAAACAGTAAGAACACTGTAATCTTGAAAAAACACATGAATTTTGGTTGTTTGTGGACTACAGGACGTGTAGCTAATACTCTGGCATCGTGCAGCAAGGGTCCATTTTTGCTGTCTTGAAATAGCTTTGTCTTGATCGTAATTAGCGTTAAATTGGGTAGGAATGAGGATACTGCGAAGATGGGATCTCTGCCTCGAGTGACAAAAAGGGACGGGTACCCACGGAGCGCGCGCGCACGACGCGGTTCTCGCCTTGGGGTGACTCCAGCTCGCTGCAGGGGATTTTATTCCAAGGAATCGGAATTTTATTCCAAGGGTCGGTGGCCCGAAGGCGCGCTTGCTTTCCACGTGCGTTGGAACATAACTCATCACCCTTCGTAGCTCCACCCTATGGAAAACTCTTGGGAAGTCTGGTCCCAACGGAGCGGGGCCGAGGCGCAGGGTGGCCGGGGCCAGGTGGGATCTCCCGGCAGTTCTCTGCTGGGAATTCTGCCTTTCTTCCCAAACTCTTCCGAGACGCCTGAAGGCAAAACATAGAGTCACGCCGGAAAACGACGATATCCACAGCAAAATAATTCTTCTTAAGAGAAGGACTGTTTGTTACTACGGGGTAATTTTGTAAGTTCACTCAGATGGGATAACGCTAGTAAAAGGCAACGGAATTTTCTATAAAATTTTCAAGTTTCAATGCGCTGCTCTGGTTTATTTTTTTTTTGTTTTTCCCCGATAGCTTGAATTTGCCTGTAACTTGTCTTTTTTGCTTACAAAATAATACCGTTAACTTTTAGACCTTCTAAATATATTTATTCAGTAACTCATAATCAGGATTCCACTTGTGTAAAAGTCAGGGGTGTTGACCAGAGAAATATTGTCAGTATTTCAAGCTGTGTTTCTTTCTTAGTTTGATATGGTTACTTCTATGTAAAAAAAAAAAAACAACAAACAAACGAAAAAAAACCACAAAACCAAGAAAAATGGAACGAAAAAAAAAGCTTCTGTAGTTTTCTCCCCAGTGTAAATGATATTTATCAGTGATCTAGCAGATGTAATCTTTTTTTAAAGGTATTGGTAATAAATATTCTGTCATTTGTAAAGATACCTGTCTTCCAGGAGCGTTTTTCCTCCACGTTTCGACGTAGCCAGTGACAAATTTCCCCACGGCATTAGGCAGCGCCTGCAGAGATTGTCACTGATGCAAAGGTACAAAATAGAAGAGTCAGTTTAAGTCCAAACTTTGTGGAGGCAGAAAAAAATATCTATTTGTATGTCTCTGCTTTAATTCTGCTTCCAAAACTGGCCAGGAAAAAAAAGATCGGCGTGAGTGAATTTGGGGTGATAATGTCTATTTGTGCAGAGTCGTGACCTTTCCAAGCTCGTGTGGGCTGGTGCTGTCGGAGCGGAGCCTCTACAGCTTGAGAAGCTCAGAGTGAAGAAGAAAGGGAAAAAAATATGCAAAAAGACCAAACTGGCATTCGCCATCCTGGTGCCTGACCACGGCCAGGGCAGCCGGCTGGGAGCGGCGTGGGCAGCAGCGGGAGCTGCGGGCAGAAGAGGAGCGGAGCATCACTGACCTGCTCTGCACCCAGAGCCAACCCCCTCCAGGTACAGCATCACTTCTCTGGTTATCCCTGGGGGATGCTGAGGATTCGGGATTTGGGGGAACACTGCTTGAAATCGCTACATCCACCCGACCCGCTTTGCTAATTCTGATTTTTAGGGGTGGCAGCGCAAGAGTCGTGCGATTGTGCCACTGCAGTGGCTCTGCGTTTCAAAAGGAGCCGTGTTGTCCTTTGCAGTCAAAAAAACAAAAATGGCCCAGTAACAAAAATCAGTTTTTAAAAAGCAAATTTAAAACTGCCATCTCTAGAGTGGGGCGAGGGCCACGCTCCCGCGGCTGCTCTCGCGGAGGCAGCGGGGAAAAGCTGCAGCAGGAGGAACACGCTGGGTTTGTAGCTGGGTTTAAAGAAAAAAAAATAAAAACCTCAGAATAAATATTTCTGCATGCTCTGGGCACAAAACTTGTAACTCTGATGTAGGAGTTTGGGGACGGCCTCACCGTGGCAAAACGCAGCGCGCAGCCCTGAGCGTGGCATCTCCCATCGCTGCGGCGCCATGTGCCGATGGCAGCAAATCACCCGGATGTGCTGGATGTGCTCCCTTTGCTCGCTCGCTGCCTGGGATGAAGGCAGCTTGCTCCGAGGATACAACTGCGAGGAGGTGGCTCCACCAGGGATCGTTGTCCTCGTCCCGCGCGGGGCTCTGCGGTAGAGCTGAGGTTCCCCCACCGCGCACCGGCTGCTGGGAAGGGCTGGACCAAAGGCCTGGCTGGGAAAACAGAGACTCCTCCTGCTTTACACCAGCTCAGTTTTATTTACTAGAGTAAGCGTAACACACGTGGCAACTGTCAAAGGCATCAAGCCCTGCCCGTCTCCGAGGGAACCCCTCTTCCCTGGAAGTCCTGAGGACCTGACATGCCCTTGATGATCTGCTGAACATCCATGTGGGTTTTCTCATCCTCACCAGCTCGTTGCAGCTGTTGGCGTTGTTCTCCTGTGATGCACATCCTTGGCAGTGCCACCTGCCCGTGCGCCCTGGGATCACATCCGCCGCCTGCCGCTGCCCCTGCGGCGCTGTAAGTGCTGAGCATCCGCGCACGCGCTTTCACGTGGCCAAACGTGCAAAATATCCGTGGATATATTGCATTAATCTCTGCAACATCTTGCCAGTAATGGGAACAAAAGTATTTTTAGAAATCTTATTTATTAGGCCACTTGAAGGCGTGACATAAAACACATTACAGGAGATGAATTCTCTTTAGTTTTTAGGTTTTCAGTAATGAAATCCCGATTTTCAACTGTTGAAGCCGGGCACCTCAAATCCATTAAAATCACATGCAGGAGAGACATTCAGGGCACAAACACTGCTACATTAATGTGCTACATTAATTTTGATGGAGCCATGCTATTTCACCCAGATGAGAACTGGCTCATTTATTATAATTATTTTGAGTCTGCAGCACCTGGGAACTCCCATTCCATTCGGCACTTTCCAAACTATTTACTTGCTGGGTCAAATCTTTCTTTTCATTCTTTGTTCATGTGCTTAACCCCACCTCTGGCCAGCCCGGCGGACAGGAGGGTTCCTGGAAGCAGAAGGGACTCTGCTAGGATGGGGGAGCTGCGCCGTCGGCAGCCGGAGAGGTCCGAGCCCGAGTCGTTGGAGTGATTTCGGGAGGTTTATTTGGTAACTTTGTGGGTTACACATGGTAAGTAAACAAATCCCAACCAGAAACCAACGCTGTCTCAAACCCAGTTCGCTTAAGATGGAACAACAGATAGCGAAGGAAAACGTGTGGCAGTATTGGGCTTGGATTTGGGATTTTGGATTTTCAGAATTACCTGAAGGCAGCTGAAGTTGGAGCTGGGGGGGACCCAGCTCCTGCAGCTCTGAAAGCCTCTTCGGAGTGCCAAGAGGGCCTGGGCACATTTCTTTAATTCCTGTACAGTTGAAAACTGCATTCCCAGGCTGTGTGTTTTGTAGGTGCAGTTGGGGCAGTTTAGCAGTTTGTGCCATTTCCCATATATTTTTTTTTCTCACCCTAAGCTTTAATTTCTTGTGTCAGGAAGCACAAATGATCCCTTCTTGTCCTTTTTGCAGATGCTGCCAGTTGATGCCAAAGGCAAGAGCCTGCAAAGCAGCTCTGGACTGAAGATGAGCCAACTGCGAGTCTCCCATGCCTCCCCCGTGGCCCCCAGCGAGCAGCTGGGTGGGCAGCCAGATGCTCTTTCAGCACCCACCCATCCCCGTGGCATTCCCTCCTTCAGAAGGGACTCTGAGACACCCAGGTGAAGCTCTGGCTTCATACTGCATCAGGGTCTCGCAGCACCCACATTGCCACCACGATCCCCACGTGGGCATCAGCCATCACAGCCCCACCAGCTTCGTGCAGCCAAAAGCTGGGGGCATTTAAGCCCCAGGGAAACCATGATATTACAAATGCCAACCTTCTTCTGCAAGCTGTACGAATCTTACAGGAAGGAAGAAAATAACCTGAAGAAAAAAAAATGTTCCACAACACAGGAGAGGAATAACCAGCAAGGACTCCTCTGCGAGCAGCCAGCATGGGGCTATCATTGGCCATGTCTTTGTCCACATGGCAGTGAAACTACCCGAGCTTAGCTATTTTTACCAATATCTCAGAACTTCACTGGAAAAATCTGAGAGTAGGACTGATGGTTCCCCTCCCTGGGTCTCACCCCTGGGCTGGGGCGGGTGGATGGGCAGCCCCCAGCAGTGCAGCGTGGGCAGAGCTGGCTGTGGCCATGGCTGTGGCTGTAGCCGTGCCCGTGCCCGTGGCCAGCTGGGGCTCAGAGAGGTTTTACGCTCTGTGCTGGGGTCGGTGCTCTGCGAGGAGCTGCCGAGGGCTCTTGAGCAGGACACTCCTGTCAGTTTTTCATAGCTATTCCCCAAAATAGTTTTCAATTCGCAAGCTGTGAGTTTTCTGTAGGTTTAAGCGTGGCTCCTCGCAGGCCTGCAGGGCACGTGCCCCGTGCAGCACCCCAGGCCACCTGCAAAACCTGCCACGCACACAAACTCTGAGATGCCGGGAGCTGTGCCTGTGGCAGGAAGGTGCCAGCTGCGTGCACACAAATAAACGTGCTACCTGTGTGTGCAAAAGTAACATGACTCTAATTGTACATCAGCTGCATAAGCAAACTTGTCTTAACTAGCTTGTAAAATCCAGAGGCTTTGGGGGTTTATAAAGTCCTGCAACGGAGACAGCCTTTTCCCAACATCCAAAGTTGGCACTAAGTTTAGTGAAAAAGCAAGATCCCAGTCACTTCCCGCAGCACAAGGACAGTGCCACGTGGGCACGGCCGTCGTGCCATCCAAGCAGTGCCCACGCAGGAGCGGTCTGGCTGCAGAGCTCACCGCTCGCACACGGCACGGACAGGCGCTGCCTTTACCATGGAATTGCCTTTCCACGGAGGTTATTCGGGTTATTTGCTGAGCTCACACCGTTTCATTACAAAGTGTAGCAGCGAAGGCCAAGTGTGAGTCGCCGCTCTCATGATGGATGTGCTGTAGCCGTGCAGCACCAGGATGTCAGCACCGGGGTGCTCTGCAGCTCGTTTGACTCTTTTCCTAGTATTTGACCCACCTTGGTCACTGCCAGGGCCACGGCCGGGTACTTTGCTGCCGTACACAGGGCTGCACCAAGTCCCAGTTTGCATTTTACATCTTGAGTTGTCAGAGGTATTTAAAACAAAACCAAAATCCAAAAGCTTAAGCTGTTAACCACAGAAAAAAAAGCCATTCGCTCTTTTCCAGGCTTTTTTTTTCCTGCACTACCCTTGTACCGTGCACTTATAACCTGCTTAAACTGGGACTTTTTGTTTGATAGCTTAGGATTACACAAGGCACCTCGTGGAAGCAAGTCCTCCTGCCCCGTTGGACAGGCAGTGGCTGTGGTGGTGACACGATGCCCGCTCCGGTGCCATCCTGTCTCAGAAGACGGAGTCGTCGAGGGCACTGCCGCAGAGATCCTCAGCCAAGCTGCCCACCTCGGTCTCCATCTCGCTGGTGTAGGTACGTGCTCTCTGGAAAGTAAACTTGGCTTTTAGCTGGTGGGCTGGGAGGGAAACTGAGGTTATCAAGGAAACTGCGCTAATTAAGAGAGAGGAGTCACGGCACACCACTGTGAGCCTGCGGTGAATACTCGTTGTGAAACAAATGCAGCAAAGCCCACACTTCACACGTTTTGCAAAACACTGTGTTTCAAGTTGGTGCCTTGAAAGAGGGATTCACCCAAATGTTTAGTGATGTCAGAGCCAGGAAAGAGCATTGGGTTCAACAGAAGAGTTCCACTAGAAATTTCATTCCCGCTGAATTTCTCAGGGGCAGCTCATCACTCAGGCCAGCAACCCACTGCACCCACAAATTTCCCATTTGGCATGCTCTGCACAACACAGTTGGCCACAGTGGCCCACCAACAGCCCTCTGTAGCCAGGGGCGAGGAGCTGGAGGGCATATTACGAGGCACCTGAATTTTTCGCAATAAACAGCAGCGAAGCCCACTCGTGGGGCCAGACCCTGACCCCTCGGTACGGACCGGGGCGGTGGGAGGCAGAGCTGCTCCCCGGGGCCCAGCGTGGTTCCCACGGGGCTTTCGTCACCTCATCCCGCTGTTTGCACCACCAATTTCGGAACTAAAGGGCCACCACAAAGAGCTGCTGGAGGTTTCGCTCTCCCAGGAGATCTCAGCAGAGAGCCCAGGGCTGTGTCCTCACCTCTCCCTGCTGGTGCCACCTCCTTGGCAGCCATGGTGCGAGGCAGGAGCCTCCAGCCGGTATCGCCTACCCCGAGCTCACTTTAAATAAGGAAACGACTAAATACGAGGCAGTGCTGCTTTTGATAACATGAGACAGCCTTTGTAAGCTCACGTTTTCTAGCTGCAGTGTTAATATTTGCTATTTCTCATATTCTTATTTGTGATACCCTAAGTCGTGTTATTTTACACCAGTGACTTTAATTAAAAACAAACATTATACCATAATCTTTTAAGCCTGTTTCTTTGACCAGACCGTGGAGTAAGAACAAAAGCTGAAAAATCAAACCCCTACTCTAAGGGGACAAATTGAAATCAAGTTACTGAGCAGCACTTCCCTTGAGCAGACAATGAGGAGTGTTATCGTATCTGTAAGGCAAATGTATTTATCAGGAAGCAACAGCAAACATAATAAGGCTTAAAACCAGCTTAACAGTCGGACCAAAACATTTCCCATTCTTAGGTTTCACAAAATAAATCACCTCTCCAGGAGTCAACCTCCAGTCCCCCCAAGGCAGAGCTGGGTGGAAGTACAAAAGGAGGAGCCGTAGGTACACGTAGGGCACTGTGTGCCCGAAATTCATTGCATAATAGAAAAGCACTTGACAACAGCACTTAATCCTTTTGTTTCTTTTTAAACCACCACCCTCCCCTCCAAACCACTTCATCTACAAGGAAGGCCGGACCCAGAGCCACCGCAGTGGGACCTGTCCTGGGCAGAGGAGGTGGCCCCGCAGCCAGGTGAGAACCAGCAAAATTTGATGCGTCTCGTTACGTTAACTGCACCCACGAATCTCCTGCCTGGCATGTTTGGCACAACACATTGGATAACGTAGCCTGCAGTTAATATGGACATTAGAAACCCTAAGAGGTCAAAAGGCTTTGACTGAGCAGTAACAAGCTACTTGCTCCCAGCCTTACGGGGAAAGAGCAGCACACAAGCACAAGCGTTCCTTCTAGTCAAAAAAAGAAATTAAAAAAAAAAAGAGTGGCTAAAGTGTTATTTTACCTCGTAGTCATTTGGGAAGGGATCTCTGAATTTGTTGCTGGGTGTTGGAATTGGTGGAAACAGTTTACTCCATATGTGGTTTCTGCAAAAAAACAGGAGTGGAGGGATGTGAAAGAATTGTTTTTTCTGAGGGATGATGTATCCGACAAGCAGCACGCGTGGCCCCGCGTCGCGGCAGATCTCCTCGCACCGCCTGCCCTCCTGCCCCACTCAGTCATCAGCTTCCGACGGCAGGAGCAGGTTCAAAAGGGATCAAAGTAACGGATAACAGTCCACCAGCGCACACCCTGAGGGCTGGGCAGGTGAGCCATTCCTACCAGGACACTTCTGGACCGTGGGGACACGCGGATGGCAAAGAGGCAGTGGGCTGACGCTCTCCCATCGCGGCCGCAGCAGAGAGCAGGGCTGGAAGGTCCCATCCAAGGGGCATTTCTGCAGCTTTTAACAGCCAGCGATAGGCCTGTCTTGGAGAGAAATTAATTGCTGTGGTCTGTCTGTTTGCGTTCTTCCCAAGGGCTGCGTTGTCATCTGCTTTGTTTGGACGTTCAAGACAGGCTGCCTCTTGCTCAGACTTTGGTTTCTGGACATAATCTGCCCGTGTCTCGTGATGGGAGAGCAACTGCAAATAATTGTGTGCCGAGGGAACAAGGAGGAGGGAAGGAACGGGACCAGAGATGGCTGACAGCAAACAGTTCTGCTTAGCAGTGTAGTAACTCACCCTGCTAGCACCCTTCGAGAGGCTCCTTTCCTGCCTGACACCCCTTAGTCTGGCTCAAGCATACAGGCATATGTATTTTTGGGATAGCAAGTGCTGCAGAGTGAACTTTTTCTTGTCTTTGACATACCCCAGAGCACAGACCTCACATTTCAATCACTAACATGCAGTCACTGTCTCTACCCCTGGAGAGCACCATGTCCAAACGGGGCCAGATTTTAATGGAAACTTGGCCTGAGTGAGGATTATCAAATTTAGCCCAGAATTAGCATGCAGAACCTGTTGTGTGGAGCCAGCCTGATGCCCATGAAGCAGAGAATTGGCCACGGTGGAGCCCTAGCTGCACCCCTCCTGCACCCTCGGTGCCGGGACCAAGGGCAGATCTGCTCCTCTGCCCCATTTATTTTGTGGCAGTTTTCCTGGCTGATGTCTGGTTAGTTGAATGCTTATGTTCTTATGACTATTCTTCTTCCAAAAGCTTTCTGAGTTCTGTCAAGGTTTCTTTTACCCTGTTATTCCTCTTCACCAGGGAGATGAGGAGGAATAGTATTTTTTGACTGAGCTGAGCTGCTGTTTAATGCTTAACTAATTATTAGGGGAAGGGAAGGGACATGGCACTGCTCGCACGATAGACCTGACTAAGCAAGCCATGGGATGTCTCCCCAGTGCTGCACATGGACAAGGGTTTGTGACGGAGGTGTACAGCCAGAAGTGGGAATATGGAGAGGAAGAGTAGGGTGTGAGTTGTCTTTAGCAGATATTTGCATCCGCTTTGTTGAAATGCTGGACAGAGTCCCACCACCGCTGGCTGCAGAGGACAAGTCGTGGGGTCACCACCAGCAGAGTGGTTCCGTAACGTGGCACTGGTGTAACTCAGGAGTGGGACCAGGATGAGTGCCTATATTAACGCTCCAGCACCTGGCATCATCTCTAGTCTGCCCAGTTTTCCTGCTAAGGGTTATGTCTTTGTGACCATACCCAGGTTAGGTTTGCGAGCGCTGTTGCCTTCACGGCTCCCGCACTCCATCACATCTCCCAAGCCCTTCAGGAGGAAGGCTCTGGAGGCCACATGATTTCACCCATATCTTATTTCAGCTCTGAGAGTGGTTTTGATTTATGCTATTGCTGTGGAATGTAAGGACAAGATTTGGTTTTGTTTGGAATTGGTGCGTTTATAATTGTTCTGTCAATAAAAGATTTTGATGGAGCCATATCAAAATTGTTTATTGAGTCAGGAAAAAGTGTAAGTTACATGTTGCTTCTGGAATAGAAACACTTAAGGAGGGGAGCACGAACGTCCAACAGACTGAGGCAGAAGCACACTGGTGTTGGTGGGGTGCCAGAGTCTTTGCAGCGAGGCGTTGGTGGGGGTGGTGCCAGTGGTGCCCTCAGAACGGCTCTGTTCTTTTTTGCAGGACACTGAAAAGTTGGAGTTACGTGATTAAATACCTTGTCACAAAAAGCACTCCAGTTATCTCTGCTCGTCTCTACACGGGTTAGAGCACGGCCCTTTCCATTAGCACTGCCTGGACCTCCAGGCTTTGGGAACACCCCACGGGACCCGCATGCCTTAACTCGGCGTTTCAGAGCCTCCAGCTATTGTGCTGTGTCTGTCTGTCTGAAATTCGCCACTTTTCCCACAGGTTGTGACATGAAAAGGCCAAAGATAAATAAAGACAAATAAGTAAGAGAACACGGTCTTCTTTTCCCTCTTCTAACCGCTCCGATAAGCCTGATAAAACACTTGTTTCCAGAGTACATTAGAGTGCCTTTTCCAGTGTCTTGCCTCCCCCAAGACCTGCCGTGACATTTTCCAAATGACTTCCCTGTATCGGGTGACTGCTGGTCATGGACCGGAGCGGGGTGCAGAAGAAGGAGGGTACGTGGTGGAGGTTGGGATGACCACACTGATTTCAGGGTATGGAGAGCTACTGACTGTCCTCGTGTCAAATAAGTAGAGAGCAGCTGGGGGCAAGTTATTAACTACATCCTCCTGTGGGCTCACCTCCAGGAGAACATGTTATTCCAAGGCACAGCCTAAGGAAGTACAGAAGATGCTCATTCATAAAGACAGAGGTCAAACTAGGAAAACATTCAATTGTGCTTTTTATCAAGACAGTAACCCCATCAGCTACTGCAAGTAAGTGAAGGGAACAGACTATTCAAACAGTCCCAAAGGGCCACTTTGCCTTGTAGCATTTCTCCCAGATGGTGGTCTGTATCTCTGATGCCTGCAATCACCAGGAAGTAGACAGAAAAATTTATAGAACGATTTGCTGGAATGAAATTCCTTACAATGGCTTCAAATCATATGAAATTTGAAATGATTCTGTGGCTTGAATGGCATGGTATTCATGAATTTTCACGAGTAGTAAAAACTGAGAGTACTCATAAGCCTGTGATCTAGGGAACCTGTTCTGTTTTTCCTTTTTTAATATCTGCAGATACAACAAATGAGCAGGGTAAGCACTGCGTTTCATTTTTTCTTAACTTCTCACCTCTTCCCAGGCCAGACTGGAGGGGTTAGAGGAGTGAAAAGGACACTAAGCAGCAGCTCGGGAAGGGTGGAGTAAAGCTCGCAACTTCATGAAATTCAGTGCAGCAAGGAGATAAAATTTTAATCACTCTGACAAAGATGGAATGTAATGAGCCTTTGGGTGCTAGGGAATTATATACTAGCCAGGCAGAGGGAAACTCCTAGAAGCAACCGACGTAGCATCAAGCAGCTGAACCTGGAAAAGCTAGCTTAAATCCATCTGATGTATTAAAGTGCATAAAATGCATTAGTACAGCATCTTCAAGCTGGTCCTTGAGTAGAAGTCTTCCCCTATACCTACTTCTCCCCTATATCTGTTTCAAGAGGGTAACTGCATAATATCCAAATACTTGCAGAACTCTACAGGAAAACGCGGAGCGTTATGATGGCTCTTAACTACTGTTGGAACTAACTGGTGTTGGTGTTTTGCTGTCCCAAAGAGAGAGGAGATGAAGATGACGCTGGAGCAGTGGAGGACCTACAGCCATACGGACAGGTCAGCCCATAAAACAATCAGTGACGTGAGTAAGAGCAGTTTGGGGATATTCACCAATATATCAAGGCTGCATAGCTGGGAACAAGTGTGTATGAAGCAGAACATGAATAAACTCTCTGGGGAGTTAATCTATCTTGTTCCAAAAAGGATTGTTTATTGAGACCTGCTATGCTAATTAAATTGACTTAAGAACAGGTTATCACAGATAGCAGACACTTTAGGGAGTTAATAACGGTTATTCTAATACGACGTTCCTGTAGACGAGACCTTTATTTGATAAAGGAAATGCAGTATGGAAAGGAAAACAGCCAAGGACACATCAGGATGACCAATAAATTAAAAGGCATTAAAGAAATGAGCAGAGTCAAGGACAGCACTTGCATTACTGGGAGCTGTGTTTATTGTGGGCTGATAATTGCTGCTTGACGCATGTTTCAGGGGAGAAGTTTGTAATTATACTGATTCTTTAATTCATCACTTATGATTTGACTAGTCACAGCTAAAGAAATCCAAAGTGTATCTGCATTTCTTCACAGCACGTTTTGGGAAGTTTGGCTATATGGCACCTGGTTTTACTACATGGCATACATAGCCTCTGTAGTAATTAAAAATAAACTAGGAAATCACTGACACAACCAGATCCATTCAAGTGAAGAAATAAGGACAAATAAATTTTTAACAAATTCGCCTCACTCAGTGTATGATTTTGCTGTGTAAGATTAAATTGAATAACCCTCTTACCCCACCAATTTTGCTGAATGTTATTATTGATAATTAATGAGGCTGATTATTACTTATTCAGTACTTTTGCTTTGTATAATTATGCTCCAATACCAAACTCAGTGCCCTTTCTTAAAATTAAGCCAAGCTTGTAACATCCCCACGCACCTGTTGAACACCTAGTCCTTAGTATTACTGCAATTAAAAAGAAGATGATGATACTTACATTTTGCATATTATAGCAACAAGCAGGAACGTGCAGCAGGTGGACACACAAAGCACAGCGAGAATCCAGGATACGGAATTCTCCACTTTGTTTTGCCCTGAATTTCAAGAGAAAAAAAGAAATTAAGCATATTATTTTAGTGCAGATTATTTTAAACACACTCTTATAAAAAGATTTCATCAGCTGGTTTATGTGACTATATTCAGATCACAAAATAACATGCAAACGATGGAGACAGCATCTAGAATTAGAAACGAAACGCAGAGCTTCAAGAACGATTTCCATGAAACTGATTTTCTAATTTCAACGACGTGCTTATTCCATTTTAATGGGAAGGAGAGGACAAGCGGAGAAGCACCCGCTGCCATCCCGGGATGTGCGATGCCACGCAGCAAGCGCACGACTGGTACTCAGCAAAGACACTGTTTGCTGATCATCTCAGGCATGAACCATTTGTTTTCCATTAAACCATTCTTCATTTCTGTTAATCCTTTCCAGCCAGGAGCTGGATTTCTCTGGCATCATAAACTTGCCTGTAAAAAAGACGTCGAAACCCCCCGTTTTTCTCGTGAGCTGGTTGCTGATACGTTTCCTCGGGAAGAATTTCTCTGCTGCCTCTGCCCGTGAGCAGACACAGGTATTTCTATCAAGGTCAACGCTTCTGTTTCGAAAAGGCATCGCTCAGTGACCGTGACCATTATTTTGTGCCACATTATGCCACAGAACAAAAACATTTGCATGGAACCGCGTTCCCAAAAGGCTGCCGAGTCCGGGTGTGCTTAAGATAACGACCTGTCCTGCGCATCGAGGTGTCAGCGCTGCCGTCGCCCGGGAATTGAAAGGACACAAATCAGCCAGCAGCAGGAGCAGGGGCGCCGGTTTTATGGGAGCTGCCGACAAAGCAAAATTCCATTGTGGCCAGATTTCTTTCCGAGAAACACGGAGCCGAGCCCGCTGTCTCTGCCGACGGCTGCGGTGGCACAGCGGTCCTCGGGCGCAGCGCGTGGATGATGCCAGGAGCGTGTCCGTGATCCCTCCTGTGCCACCACCCCGCTG